GTCTTACAAATCGCTTGGAACAAGGTCGAGGGCATAGCAGTGGACACTCATGTACATCGAATAGTGAATCGATTAGGTAATTCCGATTTGAAATTGGTTCCCAACAATTTTGGTTAAAATTCCTTTTGTCAACATGGAACGTTTTTTTTTCTTGCTTGACTAAGATGAAACCATTGTGAATATAAGCTTTAAGCATTTTTTTTCTCTTTGTTCTATCATTTTTGATATCACGCCATGTCCATTACATAATTACAAAATTTAGGATGGATGAAAACCAGTACTCCGGAGCAAACAAGAGTCAAGCTCCAGGAAATGCTGCCAAGGTAAGGAGGAACAATCCGTTATATAGTTCAAAATATTACTGATAAATGAATTGGGGAACTTTGTTTTCACTAAGTTGAGTTCAGGTCTCAATGGACAACAATAAACCCTCTCCTTGTTGGCTTCGGGCAGCAAATATGTCTCCCAGTAGGGCCAAAATGTAGCACGTGCTTATGTCAAGATATATGCCCTTCATGCGTAATCAAAACCGTAAAAAAGACAGTGAAAAAGAAAGAGTGAGTTGAATTCCTCTTAAAATTCAAAATTCAAATTCAGCTGAAGCGAACAAAGCATTGTTCAAGTCCTCTAACACTGCAGTCAAATGATGAGAACTCAGTGATCTTGGACTACCTGTTGTTCGTTCTATTTCTCCCCGATCTTTTTCTCTATAGGAAACTGCGGAGGGTGAAATTTCTCATAAAACCTGTTCATACTTCGCGACTTGGGCGAGGCAGTCGCGTCGTATGACAATCGTACAACTGCGGTCCGAGCGTTCATCGCTAATAGCCCGTTGCAACTTGTAATTCAAATGACTGTAGGATACTATACCTTTTCTGACCGCTACATTTCCAACAGCTAGCTGTACAGCGCGCTCGGTAACAGTCGCGCGACTGTATCGCTCGACTTGTGAACTATGAACGCTGCGTTACACAGGACTTTTAGCAGGGTACAAACAACCATCTGGATGGAAACATAGTGAAAAATTCGAGAATCTTGCTTAGGAGAGCTTTCATTCTAGTTGCTCTGATCGCCATGGATCGCGCCATTCGCTGCTTCGTGCGATCAGAGCGAATGAATAGCTGAGTATAAACGCAGGCTAGTCTTTCACATTCGACGTAGATACCAGCAACGCACCGAGATTGCCTGGAATGCGGACTTTTCAGGGCTTGGGGTGGATTAATCCAAGCCCATCCAAGGGTTACTCTGAACGAATGCTGCCTTGATTTTACAGAGTGCGCATCTTGTATATTGTCCTACGACTCTGAAATACGAGTGTTCACACGAAGAGTTAATGCCTTCCACCTACTCCTTTCCTGCCCACATTACTTTTCAGTATTGTAAAATTGTTTCACAATCTGCAATTTTTCTGCCGGCCACATTTCTGTTCCGGTTCCGCATTTTCAGTATAATTACCTCGTGAAGATACAATCCACGCTGAATAGTGTCGGAAGAACTACCAGCCTTATTGGTCAAAGGGATTTTCAAAGATGTTATTCGGCTTGGAGGGGACATTTGCAATTTCGCCAGTTACTTTCAATAATTCATGTCAAGAGGTTTCACTTTGGTGAGACCTGTAAACCCTTGTCAAACAGCGAACTGGGCGAGTGAGACATGTCGATCGTACACAAGGCGGCCTTCACAAACCTACAATTGGCTGAGTATGGTGCCCCCACTAAGTTCACATTGTGCCAATTTTCATCACATATATCTAGTCAATGCCCTTTACCCAATAGAGCTAGCAACGTATCCTTGTATCCAGATCCTTCCCATAACACATGTTGGCATAGTGCATATGGAAATGCCATATAATTATCACTTATAATTAAATCAATTTTTCATTGTACTGCATTTTTCCATTTGTCGCAATCTGCATTTGTCAATGTTAAGGATTCAAGTGCATGAAGAACTGTAATGGAGCGGAAGGAAAGTGCGCCAACGGTTAACCCTATTTACCCGGTTAGTTCCTGAAATAACAGATGCTATAGTTTTTTTATAGTTTTATGGTTTTCGCTCTGATTTTCTCGGAAGTGAGTCTCATGAAGATCTCTAGATTTTTTTAATGCTTACTATGTCACTGAGTCCATTTTTTTGACGTTAAAGAAATGGGTGCTGAGCTGCTGAAGGCCATTTAACAGCGAAATTAGGTCATGCTACGTCTGTGTCCTCTCGGAGGCGTTTTAGGTTCATTGATCCTTTCCCAACCTCATGAGCCTTAGAGAGCACAGACGAAGGAGGCATGGTCTAGCCTCGCCCACGGGAGATGGACAAAACAATCGTAATTTGTCGCTTCATTGCGCGCGGTATATCGTGCGGTGATGCGCGGCGAATCATCCACGTTTATGAGTTTGTCAGTTGGAGCACTGAGACTCGTATGAATCGAAACGCGACGGGAAACATCTACGTCCGCGTAACCCTTAAATTCAAACGACAGGGCAGGAAAAATCGTCCATGGAGCGCAGCGCCGCTCGTCACGCCCAACAGCGCGGCATGTAACGATTGTCTTGTCACCTACCACTCGCCAGCTGACCTCCTAACTACTGTAGCGCTGAGACATGTATCCTTCTTCTGACCATTGTAAAAGATAAATCACATTTTACGTCTAACTAGTGTAGCATAGCTTTTCGCCCCATTCCCTGTTAGAAAACTCTTGTTTGCTTCTGAACCAACAGTAATCGTGGAATCAATAATTTATGTATTAATAGTTCATAATTTTGTATTCTCATAAATCATAAAATTAAATCTATGGCCGTTGTTCAGCACATCGACTGTGTGCTAATGTAAGTTGGCGATTTTCCCGCGATAACCGTGAAACCTCGTTGCTTAATGAATCCACCGATCCCTAAATTGGCACTTTATTTTATCGCAGAACAGCAAAGGGTTCACGACACATTCCGTGATAATCTGATGGGCAGAGACTCGTGACTATTGCAATTTCCTTGAGTACGCCAACCAGCACAGCTGTTACAAGTCTCCACCCATGACATTA